AGCTTGACTATGAACACCGCTACAAGACTACGTGCCAATTAACCAATAAGATCACCGTATGCCAAAAATCAGAAGACAGATGATGGCTGTAGTCGAGATGTATTTGTTGGCGATCTCGTGGTATCGAAAGAATACCGAGATCGTGCCAAAGGAGTACAAGCGTGGTTACTGAGCGTAACCGAATTCGTACAAGTTCAAAGTCAACGGGAGAGTAAGTATAATGGCTGTCATTAGCACAGTTAAACAAACGAGCACAGTAAAACAATCACTGGTACAATTGGTTATAATAATAATTGTTTTCATTGAACCAATCGCGTTCTGTTGACAAAAGTAGGTCACTACAGGAGCCCCCCGCTAGAAAGGGTTTACACTTTCGATAGTTAGCGGTTTGATTCGTGGGACTGATCGGAAGAAGTGCGGTTGTAGGACGGAGGAAATTGGCGGAACAGGAAGTGATCGTTGATCCTCGAGTTGCCAACGAAAGTCTTTTGCGCAGAACGGTACCAGGAGAAGGGTGCTGTATTTGTTGGTCGAATTAGCATACCACACCAGAGTGGTTTGTATCCAGGATCTGAAGATTGCGTTCGTAGGGATGTGGACCAGAAAACGCTGCAGACGTAGGACGAAACCACGTTGAGCCAAGAAACCGGAAGCGACCATAACGATCAAGCGTATGCCAGGCGAATTCGAGACCAGATAATCGACTGAGTGCGTTGACTAGAGCATGGGTGGCCAAACCAGCTTTTGCCAAAGTTGACTGAAGTCGACGTTATCAAATGGACGATGGTCGGAGGCGTGGGCTCAGGATACAAAAAAAAATCAAAAAAAGAAAAGTGTAGCATGCGTGTAGTATAGGAATAATACTACACCGTATCCGTTATTGACTGTGCGTTTAGTCGCGAAAGCGTACGGGTAATCGTACTCGGCGACCGGAACGTGAGACGGTAGTCTCGTTCGTACTTCGTGAGCCCGCGATCTCATCCGAGGTCAAGGGCGGCGTGGTCTGCTGATCTGGACGTGAAACGGAAGTCTCGTCCGTAGATGGTGCAGATGACGCGTGCTGTTGACCGGGACGTGAGAACGAGGTCTCTGATGTATCTAGCGTGGGATCCGAGGTAGACGTAGAGATCCCGCTAGAAGGTTTGATAGGTCTAGCATTGAGTCTCAAGTTATCGGGTAGGGCACTGTCATCGACGTGTGCTGGTTTAAGACGATCAATGCTGACGATCTCAACGCGGCCGTGTCGATCAACCTTGAAGTTCTTTTCGTGACGAGAGATCACGTGAAAAGGGCCTTCGTAAGGCTGTTGCAAAGGTTTGCGTACCGAATCTACTCGTATGAAAACATGTGAACAGGTAGATAACTCTCGAGGGAGAGCGCCTGTCGATGTTGTATTCGAGTCGACACCGGAGACAGCGTTCGCATAAATGCAGACAGTTGATGGACGTAGTCTGATTTACCGAAATCATTACTGCTCCGTTGTGTGAAGAATTCCCCAGGCAGACACAATGTCGTGCCATATACAAGTTCAGCGGCGGAACATTGGATATCTGCCTTCAAACTCATTCTGATGCCTAAGAGAACGAGCGGTGAGGTTTCGTACCAATTGTTGTTTTCGTGTGCTCGGAGAGAACTTTTAAGTTGGCGATGAAACTTTTCGACTGAACCATTCAATGCTGGATGGTAGGCGGTAGTGCGTATGCGTTCCGTACCAAGCAGCCGGGTCAGTGAGGAGAATAATGCGGACTCAAATTGTTGTCCTCGATCAGTCGTGAAAGTCGAAGGACAACCGTACAATGCTATCCATCGTTCTACGAAGCGGTGAGCAACTGTCTCCGCCGTGATAGACGTGATGGGAATAGCTTCGGGCCATTTTGTAAAACGGTCAATGCACGTGAGTATGTGATCATACCCATGCGATGGTGGCAATGGTCCTACAATGTCTATATGAACGTGATCAAAGCGAGCATCAGGCGTAGCGAACGTGCGAATGGGGGCAGCTACGTGCCTGTGCACTTTTGATCGTTGACACTGTAAGCATTGCTTTACCCACATACGAACATCTTTATTCATGGACGGCCAGACGTATCGTGCAGCGATGAGACGTAATGTGGCTGCGATACCTGGATGAGACAATCCATGAAGGGCATCGAAGACGAGACGGCGATAGGTAGAGGGTACGATGGGTCGAGGAAGACCGGTAGAAATATCACATAGGATAGTACCTGAGCTAGTAGCTAGGGGTACTTCCTGACACTGAAGGGACGAAGATTGTGGTGCTTCTGTACAGACAGGATCGTTTGCTTGCGCGGCCGCCATAGCAGGAAGATCGAGCACCGGTAAGGTAACCGCATTCGTCTGGATACGTGATAGAGCATCGGCAACATAGTTCGACTCGCCTTTAATGTGACGAAGGTCTGTCGTGAACTGTGAGATATAGTCCAAATGTCTGCACTCTCGTGGTGAGTGGCGGTCAGACTTGGTATGCAGGGCATACGTTAAGGGCTTATGGTCGGTGAATAAGATGAATTGGCGTCCTTCTACTGCGTGCCGGAAATGTTTGATGGCGCAGTAGGCTGCAAGCAGCTCGCGACCAAAAGCGCTATATCTCGTCTCCGTGGGAGTAAGGCGTCGTGAGAAAAATTCAAGCGGTTGCCAACTACCGGGGATATTCTGTTGCATGACGGCTCCTATAGCGAAATCTGACGCATCAACCGCTATACTAAGCGTGGCTGATGGGTCAGGATGAGCGAGAAGTGTAACTTCAGCGAGAGCCGTTTTGATCTCTGAGAATGCAGTACGTGCGGTATCGTTCAATTCTAATTTGCGTGGATTACCGCGTAGTAAATCGGTTAATGGTCGTAACCGTTCTGCCGCGTGAGGGATAAAACGTAGGTAGAATTTAACCAAACCGAGAAAAGCCTTCAGTTCCTTGAGTGAGGACGGCACGTTGTACTCCTTGATTGCTCGAACTTTGTCCTCGCAAGGCAGAATACCCTCTCGTTTGATGATGTGACCCAGAAATATTATTTCTGATTTACCCAATTCACATTTCTCTGGGTTGACTACTATTCCATTATCCGAAAGACGTTGGAATAATAGCGTAAGGTGTTGATAATGTTCATCTACGTTTGATGATGCGATCAGCAGGTCATCAATATAGACGTGAACAAAATCCAAGTCTCGTACTATGCTATCGATAAACCTTTGGAAAGTTTGAGCAGCATTCCGTAATCCAAATGGCATTCGTAGGAACTCAAACAGACCGAAAGGAGTCGTGATAGCAGTTTTTTTCGATGTCTTCAAGAGCGACTGGGATCTGGTGATATGCTCGTACCAGATCGATTTTAGAAAAGATAGTCGTGCCCTTGAGCGATGCCGTGATGTCGTGTATGTGGGGGATGGGGTAGCCATCAAAGCGCGTCACTACGTTTAATGCTCGGTAGTCGCCGCAAGGTCTCCAACTAACCCCATCCTTTTTGCGCACCATGTGTAAAGGAGAGGCCCAAGGACTGTGAGAAGGACGAATAATACCAGCAGATAGTAAATTGTCAAACTCACGTTTAGCGAAGGCTAATTTGTCCGGTGCCAGGCGGCGTGGTCTTGCCGTGACTGGTGGTCCGCGGGTGACTATGTGGTGTACCACACGATTGGTCACCGATGAAATCTCCTCGAGTGGTTTAGTTATTCTGGGGAATTTCTCGAATAAAGCGTGGAATTTATCGTCACGCGAATAAAAAGTGCCGAGGATTCGGTACGCGTACATCGGAGTCTATTATATTAATACTATTCTTATCGTTAACCGTCATGTCGAGTATATTATATATGAAAAATAATTATGAAAATATACGACAGACGTGGATATATAAAACAATAGACTCACCGAATTGCCTTCTTTGAAAGATTTGACTGAGTTTGAGGCGTGTTCCAATATTTGGCTTTCCAAATGTAGCGTGGTGTCGAGTTGAGCTTGACTATGAACACCGCTACAAGACTACGTGCCAATTAACCAATAAGATCACCGTAGGCCAAAAATCAGAAGACAGATGATGGCTGTAGTCGAGATGTATTTGTTGGCGATCTCGTGGTATCGAAAGAATACCGAGATCGTGCCAAAGGAGTACAAGCGTGGTTACTGAGCGTAACCGAATTCGTACAAGTTCAAAGTCAACGGGAGAGTAAGTATAATGGCTGTCATTAGCACAGTTAAACAAACGAGCACAGTAAAACAGTCACTGGTACAATTGGTTATAATGATAATTGTTTTCATTGAACCAATCGCGTTCTGTTGACAAAAGTAGGTCACTACAACCTTTCAAGCCGACAGTTAACATTATTAAGAAACACTTTAGGTAGAACTGAGTGTTTGAATAATGCATCTCATGAAACAAATGTTTTTTCGTCACAAAAGCATGCAGAACTGAGACACAAAAGGTCTTTAGTCTATTAAAACATGCCCCATCCATCTGGAAAGCTAGTTCAGATGTTAACTGTAAGTTGGTATCCTGTACATTTCAGAGATTGCTATACTCTCAGCTCCTAGGTTATTGAAAGCAGGTTATCCTCCTTTCATATGAGGAGTTAGATAAACTCGGATTTGTTCTATACCAACAGCGTTAACACATTTGAAGGTTATTGTAGAGGTAATACGAAACTAATTGAGAAAGTATCGTAGATTTCTTCGACTGACCCAATCTTGTCCTTCCCGGGGAACGACTAACAAAACGCCTCCAAAGTAGAATTTACCGAGTCATCTTAAAGTTTCTTTCATCTTTATATTCTTTATGATGTTCCAGAAAGCCTTCGTCCTCTGTTGGGCTCACTAGGCATAATGCAACGGGCGACTGAACCACTCCACACGGTACGCTACCAGAAACGATAAAACGAAGAAGAGTCCAAAGAAACCATATGGATTACATCAGTGTGAATATAAAATAAGCCAAAGAAATACTAATAATCCTAGAAAGTCTAGAACTTTGACAAGACGCAAGAAAGATCTCCAATTTGAAGTACGCGGTATCGACAACAAATGAATAGAACTTACCTGTGTTAGCAATTAATTTTTGTATTAAATATGAAGTATCACTGAAAGCTATAGTAAGCGACCAGTTCATTTTTCTGTCCGAATCAATTGGTTTTGAACAACAACCAGTTATTAGGTAAAGAAACTGAACTTAGTAAGCGCAAGACTCGAATGCCTGGGGTACGGCCTGTGATATTTATCCGACCGATATGCCTACCCAAAACAACACACTATTTGTAGGTGTTAGGTGATTACTTTTCAGGTTATTACAGCCCGTTGTGGAAGCGGCAGGTTGAATATCCTAAGGTTTTTCCTGGTGATCCTCCAGTACCATGTTTTCTGCCTCCGTTTTGGATGAAAATGATGTATCCTGGTCCAAAGAATCCTCCTGACCATGTTATTTTCAAAGTCCACCCACAGTAATTACCTAGTAATTTCTTATCTCAGAATGACTAAGCGCGACGTGCAGCAGTATCTAGTAAAGATATACAATGTTCCTGTTGTAGATGTCCGAGTAAAGATGGTTTATCACGATTGTAAATTCTAATTATTTAGTAACTATTCGAGCAGTAGAACCAATTGATGAGCCGGAATCCCGTAAAGCCCAGAGATTACTCGATTCCACACAATTTCCCCCTAAACCTGAACGCTATGAAAAGGTTGCATATGTTCGTTTGGTAAGACGTATATCTGTACATGATTAAATTTTTAAACATAAACGTTTGGTTATTAACAGAACTACTAGAATGTTTAGGAGACTACCAATTTCGGTTTTGCTCGTGTAGTTTTTTCTTGGTACTATTTTGTCGATTGATTTTAAAGGAAGATATAGCGTCCATGGTGTATTTTCAATATTTGATCCTTCGCGTAACTACTTTGTTCTTTATATCCAGTTTTCATCACAACAATGTCATTCCAATTATTATAAAAGTGATACATGACTTTTTTGGAGTGAATTTTAGTCAAATTGGATTCACGAACTCACCAGTGAAATAAAATCGAGTTTACTAAAGAATCTTGCTAGAATTCTATAAATACATGACTGTAAAAGTCGTAAGTTCGATGGATTAAAATTTAATGACTGGAATCACCTGGGACATACTTTTTCATCATTAATGAAGCATCAACTCCATTTTGTGTGTGTGTGTAGTAGTAGTAGTAGTTGTAATAGTAGCACAAAACATTATGCTTTTCTTGATTTTGGGTTTGCGCTGATTGGTACTCAGAAATCCCACAAAACTGATTTCAGTAAGGTACTACAAACGGGAATCTAAGTAGTGCTCTGGAAACTAAGTAATATTTACTTTCCGGGATTCAGTGTAATTTAAACTGCTTAGTTAGTTCGGCCGATCTGTGATTGATTTACTAATGGTTCTTGTTTCTATGAGTTTTCTCCTTTATTGATAAACTGATGTTAACCAAGCATATATTTCCATCTTGTTTTCTGTAATATATATGTTCAAGCTATTTTGATATGTTTCTAGTTGCTCAAACCACTTTTTATTACGGTGCATTGAGTTATGTAGAAAAATAAGTTAGATGCTTAATTTACATCAGTTTTTGTTGTATTGCGACCGTATAGCTGTCAAATCATTTCAAAGGCTGAAATGCGAAGGAAAAACTGCAGTCGAATATAGAAGCGACACGCGTATGACTAGCTTACTAAATAATTCTTCGTTTTACTATGGGATGTCATAGGACTTGCATATAATCTACTTATTCCGTTGGCCATAATTGTCCGTAATTATGGGATGCATTTTGCTCTATCAAGGTACACTGGCCAAACGAACAGGAACCCTTGCCTTGTCGATAAATCTTCACAGTGTTCAAATCTTGTGAGGAAAACATAACCATAGGTTAAAAAACCAAATTGAAAGTTCCTAAGTATCGATGTAATTGGTCACAATCATTTCGGTCTATTTTCCGTGATAAGGTTACTAACACTTTTGAAACATACCGAAAATCAATTGCTTTAATTAAAAACTAGCGTTCTTGATAGTGAGTGGGTTCTGATTCTTGACTTGGTTCGCTTATGTTCTTTTGTAAATCTGTGATTGTTCTCATCTACATAGTTCTCTCGATAAGAATGTTATTATGTTTACATACTTAGTAAATGTGTTTATTTTTGGAGAGAAAAGTCTCAGTATAACGTACGTTAAGACTATTTTCTTTTACAACATTGCAAGGATTCTCTTTGCTTGGTTACTGTTAGTAATTGCGTTAGCAAACATCAATTAGAAACTGTGAATCGCTTTAGTGATCCCCTGCTTATGCAACTCGACTGTTGACTAATATTTAACTCAATAATTTCACTTCGTAACTCCTTTCTTATTATTTTGTTTAGGCCCCTGGTGAAGTTTTTGTTTTTCCTGATCTATTCAAAGACAAACGTCCATCAGATGCTACTGATGCTCTAATGGATGACGATGCTGACATATCTGAAGAAGTCATTTCTGATGACTCCAAAAAGTTAGAGAATAACAAATTTCAACCTCTGAAAGGGTGTAGCAAATGGTTTGCATTTTAATGTCTGTATATATTGTATAATAAAATAATTTAGTTCACATATTGTTTTTCCTGTTACATATTGAAGTGGAATGTCACCTGTGTTTCTCTCAATTAAACAGTTGGCAACTAGATTTTCATGCATGTCAATAAACACTATTTCTAATAGTCGAATAGCCCTTTCTTGCCAAGAAATATTTACAAATGATGCTTCCTGTTTGATCGCTGTTTCTTCTTTAGAAATATTATTTGTATTCGTTTCGACCATTTACCTTTTTATTGGTATGTTGAAAGGTGTGATAGGTTCGCGATCATAGTTAAGTGGTTTAAAGATCCAGCTTTTTACTAGTAATGGGTCACTGGTTCGAATCTCACTCCACCTACTTCAGTTAGGATAGACGTGGATGACACCAGTTCTCACATTCAATGTGTAGCGCGAAACTAAGTACACGAATTAGTATGTAGTAAGTGAGTTAAATAAATGCATGGCGTGGCCTGAGGTCGGCTAATACATGTACATCTAAAGTATGAGCTTAGATTAGTGCATATGTGTGCCAGCTCCGAAGTTGTCTTTTATTTATTGATTGTGGATGAAAATCATGAGAGTGTTGCAACGCTTTCCGTTGGAAACCAGAGATTGGTGATGTCACGATATTAGACTGTGTGTAAAATATCGTGTTTAAATCACTTCTGTAAGAGAAGCTGTGATCTGTACTTGTCAAACCTGGCTACTCTGATTTGATGACGTTTGGAAGCTTCCTGTGATCAATCATCATTGCCTCTGAAAGATTACTGAGGTTTAGTGCTAACAGCGAATCATTGATGCGGAGGCTCAATACTGTATTCATACAGAGTAACAAAAATTCAGTTATTGTCACCACCTTGAAACACCGGCAGCAGTGGTTTGGACATACTATACACCTGCTTTGGTCTGGGCATCCGGGCAGTATCGCAGCCCACACATAAATCAAGTGACTTGTGTGGCGCATATGTATTCGGTATCCCTTTGGTACCAATGTTTGTGCTCAAATAAATAAATACTCTACAAATGCCATTTTAGCGACTTCCACACCGCTCTTTATTCACTGACTATAAGACTGGTTGGAGAAAGTGGAGTGGTAGGTTTAAGACATGTTTCAGGAGTATGAGAGAAAGCTATGTAGGACTAGCATCTGTTGGTCCATCACAAGTCCCTGGTTGGAATCCGAGCGGTAGTTCAACTCATTGGCTTGAAATGTTACCAGACATGACAGAAAGAAAGCCGATGGAGATCCTACTGTGATTTTTTAATTTCTTCACAAAAGTAAGAAACTTTTCTACGGAACAGGATTCTTTCCGTTGTTTATTTTTTGAAACAACTGTTTCTCTCATTGTACCTTACCCTCATCCAACTTTTTTATTCATCTATTGCTTTTTATTATACTCACCCTTATTTTTATATCTCTTCACAATGTGTGATGCACATTTATTTCAATGCCTGTTTGTACCGACATTCGATGTTGGGTGTCTTTGAACCATTGCCTGCATATTTCGGACAACCAAGTTCTGATGTTTAACCCTGAGCACTAAGTGTGACAAATCGACTGAAATAGTTTGGATGTGTATAATGATGTAGGAATAGGTTGAATCAAGGCTAGGGTCGTCCGAACTAGAACTTGGTATCAATGGGCAGCGGAACTGAGTATTGGACTAAGCCCTGTAAGCAGGTACAGATCATCTGGTTGGAGTCAGCATAGTGTGACGGCTGAAATTCGTTCACAATAGTGTGGATACGCCCACTCCTTGTCTTACTTTAAATCTTAAGTTTCTAAATTCATAAATTTTTTAGTATAGTGATGACGAACTTGCCGAATTGTACGCCCTATATAACTTGCTTCATAGGAACAGTTGAAATGATAATTACAATACAGATACAATTTCAATTCCTAAGTGATCCCACCGAAGAAACACGGTGCAATTTTTTCATTAGCATCGCATAACAAAACTCCATCCATCTTGGTTGAGCAAAGGACAGGTAAGAGTGATTCAGAGTTGTGTTCTCGCTCACTTGGTGAGCACAGGACAATATATTATTCAACACAATCATAAGAACCCTAAGTTCAAATCAATGATAGGAAAGGAAATCACATTAAATAGTTAGTGTCTGTTAGTCTACGCTCAGTGGTCAACCACATCTCTGTTTACTACTACACATTAAGATGGTATTCAGAAAAGACCTTAGATATATACAAATCACTGTGGTCGCTTCTACATTTCTAGGTCTTGAAAGTATGGTTGTGAACATCGAGTATCCCACGGACAGCTAATGAACTCAGTTGGGTACATTCACATTTCAAAACTAGTTTAACAAACAAAGACGTAAACGTGTTCACTGTTAGTCTATCCTGAGTCTTAATATTATTCCATTCCTTTTGTTTTATGAATTCCCCAACCACATACTTTATTTTTAATTCTTTCGGCCTCAACGATATCATATATAACCATGCTATCCATATACTTGTGCTGATGTGGTGGCCGATGAATATCTGTGATATTCGAACCTAAGTTGATGAACTATTATTAGTCGAATTGACATAATGACTAGTTCAAGAAAAGAACTAGTAATTTCTTTGCACTAACTAGCTTGAGATTTTGTATTTAGGTTTATATGCTACCCCCTGACTACATCTTTAGGTATTATCACTTCATTACAATCTATAAAATAGAGGTCGATCTTTATAGGAAATCCTTCAACAACATTTATATTCTACATTAGAAAAGCAGTGTCATCGAAACACGACAACACCTCCGACCGTAGCTGCTACTACAGTGGTTGGACATAAATATTATGATGACCCAAAAGTTATATTAGAACATATGTTGGTTTAGATCTTACCATACTATAGAGATCAGAAAGGGTCGATCCAGTAAATAACATACGGATTTTTATCCCCGGCCGCTAGGTTCGGAAAGTTCGGCACCAGCACATCAAGAGCTACTCACAAAAGGCTATATGTAACCGGTCTCAAAGAATTGTCCGTTGGGTTTTGCGGTCACGCTCCCAGGTCGTCAAGATCACTACTAATCCAGCTACCTCAAAAAGAAGTGTCCTTCCATAGTATATGCAACCGCCCACGTACTCCCAACAGCATTCAAGGTCATACATACAATCTATGCTCATGTGGTAACTGATCATGAAAATCAACTACCAAGCACAACAATATCAAATGGGAATAATGGATTCAAGTCAATAGAAAAATTACAAATGGCTTTTGTTTTTCACTGATAAAAAGCAAACAAATAAACCACCTCTCTAAACAGAAAAAGAACATTTACAATACTTCATAACAACAGAATGCGTACAACTTGTTAAGTATATTTATAAAGTGGAAGATCCGCATACACATACACACACACACAATTAGTTTTAAACAAAATGTTGAGGGGAATTTAATTTAATGTTTCATCAAGTCTTCATTATTTCCCTATGTGAGCGTCTGTGTTTGTATGCATCGACTTAAGAAAGCGATGATTGAATAGTGGCTTGAATAACTGATGATAATGATCAGGATTTGGTGCGAGCGCGCACACACACATACACACGTGTGTATGTGTGTACCACATTGGAATGGATACAATAAAATGTGAATTGATGTTACTCACAATAGGAGAGAAGATCACAGTAATATTTTAAACAGTAGTAAACAAGAAGAAAACAGAAAAGAGACAAAAAAAAAGACCCAACAAGTTAGATAACCTGTAATAACAGAATAGAGAAACAATATTATTGTGTAGTAACAAGAGAAAGACAAATGTTTATATTGCCTTGAAAAATTCAATTTTCTATACTGTAGAAAGAAAAAAACACACATCCATTTTGTATGTAATATACAATTTATAATATGTCTTATTAAGTAAATAATGAATATGAATAAACCACTGAGTTGAATGTCTTTCACTCTCTCTCTGTGTGTGTGTGAGTGAGTGGGCGTATATGTGACACAGACGGAATGGGGTTACAACACAATTCCCAATTGTATCTCCCTATAAATAATACATGTATTTATATATATATATATATCTGATCATATTTAAGAATGAGGATGAATTTAACTAGCAATGTTCACATCATCTGGATAAGAAAGAAATAACAAAAAAAAAAACAACATTTGGCATCAAATACAATACAATTCAGTTAAATAGTTATGTAATCAAATAATCGTAATAATCCAACATTATCTTTGTTTTCTTCTTCTTTTTTTTTTCTTTGCAACTTTCGTCCTCTTTTCATTCTGTCTACAAGATATACATATGAAAAAAGGCACTATAATTTGTTTGTTTCTTTGCTTTATTTTTAATTATAAAAAAGTTCTATTCTTGTCCAAAACCTTCTGTTTCATCAATTGCATAAGATAATTTCTCAGCTAATTGTTCATAGGATCGATATGGTGGTAGATCTAATCGATTGAAACATGTATGACTTCGAGGTAGCCATGAATCTTTACCAATATATTCAATACAAAATGGTTGTGGACCATTATTACCTAAAATAAATGAAATAATAAGTAAGCAGTAATTAATAATAATATTTTGATAGGTGTCAATTCTAAGTTATATAAGGAAGGCAAGATATAATCTAATACTGTATGGATCCGTTCAAATTGTCCTTGATCCTATAAAGAAACTTGACAGTTCAGTAGAAGTGGTCAAGATCACTCAGATAGGATTATGTTCAGTTTTCAGTCTTTAAAACAGTTCTGACAATTGTTTTTGTTTGATAAAGCCCCCAAATGGCCGGGAGTAGGGTGGGCCCTCCCTCCCTCTCGAAATGCTCTCACAAGATCACGCGTATATAGCTTCTGCCAGGGAAGTCCTACTCACTGCCTTCTCGCAACACGGGTGTTGTTTACGAAAATGAGAGGACGAAAAGCGAATGTCCGGCGCTATAACCGGATCCCAAACCAATGGTGCACATGGACTGTCTCCAGTATCCTACGGGAACAAATGGCGTATGAACCAATCGTTGGTCACCGGCTGCCATAGGACCGCATCGCCTTACGATGCTCCACTGCCTTGTGGGTCAGACGTTTAGATCGAAGGCTCGGGGTGTGGCCTCTTAAGAAAACCACCTGCTTCGGTTTGGGCACCCGGGCAGTATCACAGCCCTCATACATAACAACTGAGATCTGTGTGGCGCATATGTATTTGGTGCCCTCTTGTACTAATATTTATGTGTTCAAATAAATAAATAAATGTTTAGTCTTCAGACTTTA